ATATATATATATATATATATATATGTATATATATATATATATATGTATATATAATTATAAAAAGAAAACAAAAAAAGGAAAAATCTAAGTGTATTTCTATATTTTTTAAAAGAAAATAAATAAGCTGTCTTTGACTGAAAAAATAATAATAAAACAAAGAAACAAACAAACTCATACTTGACAGGAAATGGTGGTCTTGTGTAAGTAAATCAACGTCACAATAAATAAACATGCGACCCTAAACATATAATAACTACAGAAAATAAAATAAAATCGAAATCAAAGAGGAACTATAATACTTTAAGTCCTGTGCAGATAATGTTTGTAAGGATGGGGATATGAGGCCGATTTGCGAAGACTGTGTACGTTATGTAATTAAGGATGGGAATATGAGGCAGATATCGTGGAAAGAATATAGAGAATGTGAGATCGGATTTAAATAATTGCGAGCATATATTTTGGAATTCTAGGAAAGTAAGAAAATGTTCACAAAAAAGATTGTTAAGATTGTTGAAAAGGTCAAAGAGCTCTAAAGAGCTAGATCCACTTAACAGATCATTAGAAGTATATTATCTTAATCAATGCATTTTTGTGTTGCTATGTTTAAATAAATAGAGGGTATGTATATATATATAAGGCATACTAGTGTATTCGTGGAATATATTCGAATGTATATGTGATATTTTCGTGTCCTAGAGTATTTGTACATTGTATTTATAAGCGTTTTATCGACTTGTACGGAGATGCTCCGCTGTGTTCGTTGGTGTATATGGAACGTTCTGAGTTGTGTGTGGGATGAATATGGTGTGCTTCTGGGATATATATATATATATATAGTCACTGGGGTTATCTTATATTATATACTGGTCCATTATATACTGGGTGTAACGGATCGTTTATAGTTGTGTAATTGTGTTTGTATAAGATAACATACACAAATTCTACTGTCTTTCAACCCATTCAAGACAGGTACGTTTTTTCCGGTAGTAAAAACGTGCTCTATTATATTAAGTACAGTATATCCATGACATAAAGAAATCAGATCCACAACATAAGTTCAATAGTACATTGAATATATTACATACAATTTATATTATTTAATAAAGATTTTGCAGTTGCATTCGTACATATAATATAAAAAAAAAATTCCCTACAAGTAAAACTAAACAATAATTTATTATGATAGGCTATAATAAATATAATAAATGATAAAATAAAACTGAAAGTAGGCTGAGAGACAACACAAGGAGGCATGCCGTGACCTTTGAACCATCATTAATATTAGCTACCCGTAATGTTGTGGTAATCAATCGGCTGTGTTCAAGTTGGATTGGCCGGAAGTCGTCAACAAGCCGCGCATGATTGTCGTCACTGAGATTTCTGAACTGATTGAGCTGGGGACGAAGAAAGTTTGGCGTATCAGTAGATGCAATGCATTCATTTTAAAGGAGCACTGACAAATGATAGGGAAATAATTTCGTGTAGATTTAGGGTAGTACCGTTGAATAGAGTATATACATATATTCTTTTGTTTATAAATGACAGAGCGTGGGTTCAGATTGCGGTTAAGCAATGGTTCTCAAACTGGTCGGTACCACAAAGCAAAGGAGCGTTGGGGTGTTGCGAAGTGGGAGAGGGGTGTAAAATACTTATTCTGTTTTGGGGGAAATTGTATTCAAAAAGGTGAAGAAAATGAGAAACATCTTTTTAAAAATAAGTATTTGTTTATTCTAAACTAAACGTTATTGACTGTTATTCTGGAAAAAAAAAATCTCTAGGACAAGCATTAGTCAGAAAAGAGCTTTCCCCACCCCCCCCCTCCGTGTAAAAAGGTGAAGAAAATGAGAAACATCTTTTTAAAAATAATTATTTGTTTATTCTAAACTAAACGTTATTGACTGTTATTCTGGAAAAAAAAAATCTCTAGGACAAGCATTAGTCAGAAAAGAGCTTTCCCCACCCCCCCCCCACACACACACTAGGAACGCTATTCGATCTATCAAACAATACACTATCCTTAAGGCAAGGAGACATGAATACCAGGCAAAGCGTAATGAACAGAGAACAGCTGCACACTTATTTATAACCACAAGAAAGGAATACCTAAAATTACGTGGTGTACATACATCCCCAGAATGACAACTTCTAACAATAAAATGTGAATGGCTGTCATGGCTCAATGGGCAGACAACCCAAGTATGCTAACTTATAACCACAAATGTAGTAAAGTATCACTAGTGAACTATAACGATTCATTATTTCAATGTTACTTAAGTCAATGGAATATATTATTTCGAATCGAAAGACTGTGTAACGATAATTGGTGAATGATGTTACTTGTAAAATAAAGTTGTAGTGTTAATTATACACGTTCACAAAGCATGACGGGAGAGTCCATTGATTTAGCCTCAGAAAACCAATTTATTTTATATACATTACACCGCAAGAAATACATCTCCGAAAACTGGAGGAACATATAATTGAATTTGTCTATTTACTTCACATCTTACTTTCACACATATCGATTGACTCATTAATCTGATGCGATGATGTATGGCACAGAGCCTATTTTCAATCAACGTATGCTTCTATGTTCACTTATGTCCCTCTACACTTCTGCGCATGACATACCTCAATTCACTTCCTGTTCCTCCTAACTTATAAAAACAATAGATAATTCCGAAACAAAATTATTATCTACATATTTGGTCTACGACAGACTTCAGTAGCTTGCAAGATATGATCACGGCCATTCAATAGATACGAATGTTATTGATGACTTGTGTGGTATAATATTTTTTGTATGTGATATCTAATCAAATGAAATATTAAAAAATAATAAATCCTTTTTATTAAACTAGCGTTTTTTGTGTGTGTCTTTTGGGGAAAAAATAATAGGAAAGCTAAATGACCCACTTCCGTCTTCCAATGAAGCCAATGACAACATATTCCATTAAAATTTTCAGCTCCCTCCCAACCCAAGAAAATCAGTTTTTCCTGTTTTTCAAGGGAAAGATGCCGGAAATATCATGTGTTCAATGATTGCATGTTTTGATGCTGCGAGTAAAGGTTTAACTATTGCTGTGTGATTAAAAATAAACAGTTCGTCTATTAGCTTTTACATGCAATAACTTTGATTAAAAACATTCACCATACCAAAAATCATGTGCTACAATCACATATTTTATAAATGACATACAATTACATAAATGCAAACAATAGTTCACGTAAAGGATTTATTTTAAAAAAGTATTTGTTTTTTAAAGGTTGTTTCATTATGAATTCAAAGAACACGAGATCACATTGCGTGTCTGTTTTGTAGGTTTCAATTTGATAAACAACTACATCAGTTAACGGAAAGTTCAAACATCTGTTGTTGTTTTTAAAGTGGCACATTTCTTTTCTATTTATCTGTGTGCCATTCATAATCAGTAGCCGCGTTTCTAAAATGCTCAGTGATTAGCCAACACAAGTCAATAAACTGAATTAATTGTGCAGTGAAAGAAGCTTTATTTCCTACGTAGTTAGTTTTGGAATATTCGGTAAGTTCTGTGAAAAGAGAAATTTATAAAAAAAAAATTTATAACGTCCGATTCTTCCTTGCGTCTGGCTACTTCGTAGGCTATCAAAATTCAAGAGCTTTTAAAAGCCAGTTAACACAGTTGTTGAAAACTTTTTCTATTCCAATTTTTTTTTCTAAGTGCTGTGGTCAAAGACATTAGAAAAGATTTTGAATATTTCAGTCAAGATGTGCTCTGAATTCAGAAGAAAAATAAATTTTTAATTGGAAAGGAATGGCTCCAATCTTATTTGTAAAAAAACAAAAACAATCAATTGTTTTTAATTAAAATATCTCAAAATGAATTCAGTACATCAAAATCAATATTAGTTCATTATGAAGCCAACATCGACAAAAAATGAAATTGGGTTAAACGGTAATTATCTGTAAGAATGTAGGACCTTTTGAATAAAATAACCACATAAATGCTTGATCATTTTTAGCATGTCACTTCCCATTGGTGTGAGTGATATATTATATACTCAATCAATCAAGATTTCTGTACGTGTGGTTTAAGAGTGCTTGTTAATTTACGTTATAGAAGAGATTGCACTCAAAAAATAAATTGTTATCAATTCACGCAGCCAAGCCAACACATTGCAAATATTATAGTTATGAAATTTACCATTTGCAATGTCAAAAAATTGCAGTGTCTAGTAAAATCAGTCTATCATTCAATTAATCCAAAAAGAAGTTGTTGTTTTTTATATTATAATTAAGCTTTATCGTGCAATAGTCATTCACACAATGCTTCTTAAATATTCATTGACAAAGCATTTCAATAAAAATTGTTATAACTGTCCCATTAAGAAAAAAAAAAAGGGGGGGGGGGGCGATTTTGAGTTCATTCCCCCAAAGTGACGGGTAGGATAAATGTTGGATTGGAGCTTGAGAAAGAGCTCGGGATAAATATTGATGTAGATTAACTTAGAGATGTTTAAATAGTTTCTTAAATGTGTTGGGATATACGGTGGTTTGATGTTGATTGAAATGCCTGAATTATTGTTTCATTGATGCGAAATAGGTTCACGGGAATGATATTGAGCCTGGAATAGATTTTGGGTTAGACTGTGGGATAGAGATCTGCTATATATTTTTTTTGTCTAGGTTGGGATGTCATGGAATAAACAAAGTCAGATGCTATACATAATATGATCATGATCACTCACCTGTTTCTTCGAAATTTCTATGTTCTCTACGGCCACTGACCAAATGACACTTTCAGAACACGGTGGTGTTGTCAGGCTGCCATCGTAGCGATAGAAGTCCAGGTTGTCAAATGCAGGTAAAATATCCCTCAACGCAAATGTCTCGATGTCAACGTGTGTATCTGTAATTTTAGTTTCTTTTTTTTCTCAGGTATTTCAAACACTTTTACGAACATGATGTCACTTTATGACCAAACTGAAATCACTCAGAGTGGACCAACCGTTCTATCACTCACTTTCCTGGGGAACCAAATGTTGCACATTCCCCGAAGATGACGGTCCTCAATATACTGAAAGGGACCGCCCGGATCGAATGGAACCCCCCACAACCCACACCCCCTTCTTATGCTCGTCTTACCACTTTATGAAATCCCCCACGTTAGACTACTCCGTCATTTTATGAACATATTTCCTGTTTATGAACATTTTCTAACATACCCAACACAATGTATCCGTATAGCAACACTAGGGGCCATTATCCTGGTAAATTTGATACACACTTTAATCATAACTGTCTTAAGCCATATTGGGGACATCAACAAGATATAATTTAGACGGTTTTCGGAGATCATAATTACATTACTGACATATTTGGTGGAAAACTTATAAATAATAAAAATAATAATAATAATAATAAAGATTATTTGAAAATCACGCTTCATCCCCAAAAGCTCGAAGCGCGTTAAATACCCCATTGAAGTACAAAAGGCAACATTACAAAAACTACATACGAGAATACCCATTCTAAATCTTTCATACCTTGCAACCATAAACAAAAGAGACCAATATACATCTTCAAGATAATAGCTAGGTAGGTAAACATCATTTATTGTACATCATATTTACCTATTATTTTTGACATCTTTGACAAACCGCTTCGACATCATACTAATACCTATACAGGCACGCATCGACTACAAGTTGTCTGTTCTCTGTCACAACTTTTTCTTGGATTCTTGCCCTTCCTATCTAACTGAACTTCTTTCTGTCTATTCACCCCTTCGACAGCTTCGCTCCTCTGCAGACACGCGTATTCTGTCCGTTCCCAAGACACACATTAAAACATATGGTGAACGATCTTTCTCTTTCTGCGCCCCCAAACAATGGAATTCTTTGCCACTTAATATTCGCAATATACCAACCACCCAGGCCTTCAAAACTGCACTCAAAACATATCTTTTTAAATTATACTACCCTGACTGATTCCCCTCCTCTGACCGATAAATGGCCTTGCTGGCTGCCGTCCATGGTTTGCCTTGTAAAAGTTATGTGGTGTGCTGGTTGAATATACATTGCTGTTCTTTATTTCATAAATGTATTTTATTTTAATGTCATGATTATGTCTCTTTTGATAACATTTTTATGTTCAGCGCGGTGAGCCAAGCCCTAGCCCTATTATTATTATTATTATTAATACATTTTTTTTGAGTACTTAAACATCATGCTAAAATTATTTAGAAGATGCATATACAGTATTCATTGTTGATTATTCGTAATGTTGTTCTACTTACTTGGATTATCAATAAGAGGAAAATACCTCAGAAGGTGATTCAGTTTGTTGTTATCTCGTGGTACAACCTGAAATACAATCATGTTTCATGTGACGTTAGCTTGTCTTACTGCTTAATTTACAATCATGTTCATATCACTGTGATTTGTCTTACTGCTTGAAATAGAATCATGTTTATGTGACGTTAACTTGTCTTACTGCTTGAAATACAATCATGTTCATGTAACGTTAACTTGTCTTACTGCTTGAAATTACAATCATGTTCATGTGACGTTAACTTGTCTTACTGCTTGAGATACAAGAACGCACACGGGGCGTTAACTCGGGGTAAGACTTCATTTGCAAGCATTGTTTGTGACGTGAACTTATGGTGCAACCTGAAGTACTATCATGTACATGTGACGTCAACGTTTGGTGCATCCAGAAATACAAATACGAACATTTGATGATAACAAGGGGTACATCATAAATTACAAATACATAAATTTAATGTTAACTGGTAGTACATCGTGAAATAAAAAGGCTGACACATGATGTTAACTTTTTGTAGATCATGAAATTAAAATACAGACATTTGATGGGTGTTTTCTTGTTGTTTTTTTTTGATTGCACTAAATGAAGTGCAACTTAACCAAATTTTTTTTTTTTTTTTTTTTTGGTATCGTTTAACATGACGTTATCAATTAACCAATGCGTTGACTGCCGCCTACCTTGAAGAGAAACGCAAAAAAAGCAAGGCCGAAAGGATGAGTGGAAGCGGCGGGGACGTTACCAAAATGATGTTGGTAGTGAACCAGAAGCAACTGATAAATGACAAAATAATAAATTAAAATATGGGTGTTTTCTTGTTGTTTTTTTTTGATTGCACTAAATGAAGTGCAACTTAACCAAATTTTTTTTTTTTTTTTTTTTGGTATCGTTTAACATGACGTTATCAATTAACCAATGCGTTGACTGCCGCCTACCTTGAAGAGAAACGCAAAAACAGCAAGGCCGAAAGGATGAGTGGAAGCGGCGGTGACGTTACCAAGATGATGTTGGTAGTGAACCAGATGCAACTGATAAATGACAAAATAATCAATTAAAATATGATGATTGAGGGATTTACAAAAAAATAACGTAAAGAAAATGCTTTAAAAGAGAAATGCTTCTTTTGAAAGGTGCTTTGACATTATTTAAAAAAAATATATTGTAAAATACCCTAAAAAATTAATTTAAAAAATATTATTTTAAAAAAAAATAACTACCTTTAGACTTTTTTTTGTGTGTGCATCAAACACATTGCAATACAGAAGGCCGTCACTGAACTACAATATTCTGACTATATGTACATGTATCTTCATGCGATAGGGCATCCCAAACTACTTTGTTCTGTGCATAGGTAAATCTATCTCCATGGGATAAGGCATCCCAAACTATTATGTTCTGTGCATAGGTAAATCTATCTCCATGGGATAGGGCATCCCAAACTACTATGTTCTGTGCATAGGTAAATCTATCTCCATGGGATAGGGCACCCCAAACTACTATGTTCTGTACATGGGTAAATCTATCTCCATGGGATAGGGCACCCCAAACTACTATGTTCTGTGAATAGGTAAATCTATCTCCATGGGATAGGGCACCCCAAACTACTATGTTCTGTGCATGGGTAAATCTATATCCATGCGATAGGTAACCTTACCATTACAATTCTCTGAAACCTAAATCAGGGACTACTTCTTAAATGCAAATGTGGATTCCATTATAAAAAAGCGAAGGTGAATTTTTATTTGCAGTTCGCCAGCTCCAGGTAAAACGCTAGGAGCAACACAGCAACCTTTTCACCATCTTTGTTGATCTGATAAAAGAATTTCATTCAATCATTAGAAGTGGCCTGTAAAATACCGTCGTGATTTTCGCGGCCCCATTTTATGTTTTACAATAGTACGTCAACTCCATGACGGCATAATGACCATTATGGATATATGCGTTTTGTTTTACAATTATAACGTCATTTCTTAAATATGCAGGACCTTCGGAGGACAATGCAATCTTTGGAGACTGCATTCCATTACGAAAAGGGGAAGGGGGATTACTCTTTTCTTCAAGCGGATATCCTTTCCAGGCGAAAACAAAACTCACAAGTCTCCTGCGTGCATACCGTCGAATACATCCTTAGTCATCTTAGCACGAATGCACGGAACGAACTATCTTCTTATCTTATTAACATCTACCTTCATTGAAAAGAACTCCCCGCCAATACTATGTTTTGAGATCATCTATCACTCTCAAATGCACCAGACTCCAAGCAATAGTATAACCCATCATTGATTTGTTTTCATCATTTCTATCACCTTCTAGTGCACCCACCTCCATGGGAGAGAACTTCCCATCAATGCTATGCTCTGAGCCTCTCCCGTCCTCAGCTCCCCAATGAAAGTGAAACTGCTCCAGCTTGTAAACATCTGGCAGGCTGCCTTCTTGAATGTAAATGGATTTTCCTTTCAGCACAACTTCCGCTACAAATGGATAAGTTACCAGGTGATCACACCCACGGCCATAATATTGATGTAGGTAGATATTTATTGGTTTTTGTTTCTTAGAGATTATGAACAAATATTTGTATGTAAGCAGTCAATTATGTAGAGTTGATATTACATTGAGCAAAGATGGAAAGTTATATCAGTATAGTATCTACAAGAACCCAGCAATATCACATTGGTCAAGCAATATTTCTATGACACCAGCTATTTCGCGTTGACCCAATTTATATTTACATGGCATTAAGCATATCTCTGCGACCACAAAAATATCCATATGTCCGAAGCAACAACTTTTCCAACAGGCATGTTACCATTATATAACTATCTCTATGACCCTAGTATGTACCTGTGTGTCCGTCCTTGTTCTCTAGTTTCATCTTAACCCCGTCCGTGATGGAATAGTTGTTGATATTAATGTACTGTAATTTGTGATGGTACACTGCATCTTTGGTGACGATATTGATGGGTGACTGCAGCAGTCCAGCACAATCTGGGTAGGATTTCTTCCACGCATCAGGACCTGGGAGATGTCAGGCAAACACATCCAAGTAACAATGATGACAAATGACTTATCATTACATGAACTTGTGACATTTATACTATAGTGTTAATGTATTTAACATTGGCGTCGCTGAAATAGTGTGACCCGTAGTAAAAACTCCTGGTGCCATTGTCCATACCTAAATTCCCCAAAATCACTACCCAGACCTGCACCAAGTAAATAGTTACCAGATCAGTGCACATCAGAATGTCTTAACTAGCAGTAAATGGAATATAAGATCATAGGAGACACACTTTATTTTTTTAGAAAGTTGTAGTATAAGTTTTATTTTTATTTTAAAAACAATTCTTCATTGACATTTTCCTTTATGTAATAAGTCTCGGGTTCATTTAATAAATTCTACAGACGTAATTGCATGTCAATAAATGAATTAGAAAAAAGTCCAAGATTTAAAACATTGATATGAATTGCTACTTTTGAGGGGGGTGGGGGAGGTCGGGGGTGCGGAATATTTAAAAAAAAAATATGTAAGAATACAATTATAGAATTGTTTGTAACTTAAGCTCCAAAGAAGTGAATACGTTCCAACAAATTTGTAGCAATGCATCAAAATCAGTATTTTTTAGACAAAACAAAATAATTCAAAATACATTATGCTGATCATCAAATATGCGCACCGTCTCTGGTAAACTCTAAATTTTTCATTTTCCGAGAGCACATCAAGTGAACACCACACCTCTTAGTGACGTCACTGGTATTCAATAAATGAAATTTTCTTTACAGAAATAGGTTTAAGCGGGAACCTGGTAGTCGGAATATAAAATCCAGTGGCCTAGATGGAAAAAAAAAAAAAAAAAAAAAAAAAAAAAAAATAAAAAAAAAAAAAAAAAAAAAAAAAAAAAAAAACAAAAAAAAAAAAAAAATATTTTCTTTACAGAAATAGGGTTAAGCGGGAAACTGGTAGTCGGAAAATAAAATCCAGTGGCCTAGATGGAAAAAAAAAAAAAAAAAAGCCCCTTATCTGATTTGCCAAAGCGCCTCACTGAGAAAGAGATAACGCCTTCTTGGGCGCGAGGACTAACCTATCAACAAAGTCTAGATTTTAAATGTGTAACAAAACAAATATTGCGACATACCTCCACGCTTTCGGTCATAATTCCAACCTGCAACACAAGAACAGGTTTCAGATATTATCAATGGATACATGCATTTCATACAAACACATTTGATACTGACATTTGATACCAATTTTCAATACACCCATTTGGCTAAAATATTGGGTAGAAACACTGGATATGAACAGTGGCTATAGACATCTATAATTTATGTACTTGGGTCAGTTGGTGTATTTAAAATGTATCTACGTATGTGGGTTAGATTGAAATGTTTAAAATTATGTATGAGTCAGATTGATCCATTTACCAATTACATGTGTGGGTCGTATAGGTACTTGCACTGTTTATGTATCTGATCAAAATAATAGATTCACAATTTTTATATGCGGGTCAGATGGGTGCATTCATTATTTAAATATGTTGACAAATCTTACATTAACATACTTGTTCTGTTAAACGAAGCATTTATGTATGTTGTCAGGCTATAGATTAACTGTTTCTGTTCTATTATATAAAACATTTATATTTATGTCTTTATCTGACTCATAACGTAAACATTTGTATAGTTTGGTTGGATAGTTACGTTAAAATTTATATATGCTTGGATCGATGGTTACTTTATAAGGTATATATTGTTGGTGGATGGTTACATTATAATGTATTTATGCTGGTTGAATGGTAACATTAAAATGAATATGTGTATGTTGATTTGTTACATTTATATGTTTATTATTATATGTTGGTCGATGGTTACATTAAAATATTTCCTATTGGTCAGATCCTGATGTGTACACTTTGCACGTTAATTTCGTGTCCTTTAAACCTTTATGTGTCCTTTATGTGTTTTTATGCTGCGAGGAGCAGCCAAAGTATATGATATACATAGGCCTAAATATGTTTGCCAATTAAATATTTTAAACAGGCCTACATGTCGTATGTTTTAAAATGATATAGCTTTTCTTACATTATTTGACACTTCTGGCTGTAAAATTTTAATTTTATATATGTATTTAAAGTGTCTGTGTCTTTGGCCCCTATTTGTCCTTTGTGTAAAAAAAAAAAAAATATCGCCTACAGACGCTTAAAGCCTTATTGAAACATTTCTGATCTTAAGCGTGGGAGGAAGTTTCAGCATTAAATCAAGTCTAACGCCTGGCGACCATTGATTAAACTACATCCCCCAGTTGTTTGGGCGTGTCAGGCCCTCGCACTTAACTACACACTGCATCCATAAGAAGAGAACGGTGTTGTTGTTTTTTTAGCAGCTATCCAACCTCTTCACACGTGATGTAAATGAACAAACATCTGCTTACCTACAGCATCGGCATCTACCTGTCCGACAAAGTAACTCGCCACTATCAGCCACTTTATTAATACATTTAGATGTGTGTAAGCTCCAGCCATCTTGAAATGGCGAATTATCTGTAGTCGGCTCGTCTCTGTGTTACCCAAACTGTTATCTAGAATGCGTTGATTTTTTTTAGAGTAAAAAAACACCAACCCGGAACCATTTCACTTGACTCGCGTACTTAAAATGTTGTGTTTTTTTATCAGTTGAGTATAGTGGTTCTAATGCCTTTAAGGGATTGTGCCCCCATGGTTGAAAAACGCATTATTTGGAACTATTATTAAGCAATTGTAATCCTCTTTATAATATCATATCGCAAAGTTGATAATCTATATATATAAAAATGAATGTTTGTATGTCTGTATGTCTGTATGTCTCGTATGCCCTTCTACGCCATTAATGCGATTGCAACAAAACTTTAAGCAATTGTTGCCCAAATAAATAGGCATTTAAATAAGTCATTAAAAATCTTATAAAATGTTCCGTTCTTAGCCGTTGGCCCTTAATTTATTTTTTTTCTTCTACGCTCTTTGTAAAAAATATTTTCCTTATGCGCTCCTACGCCATTTATTCGATTCTGATAAAACTCAGTTGAAATGTTGCGAACATGCCCACAAATGTTTCTAAAGTATTACAACTGTTTTAAAATATTCAGTTTTTAGCCAGGGGCCTTATATTCGTTTTTTCTAATATGAGCTATATAAATATATATTCAAACCGAATGCGCTCCTACACCAATCATGCGATTGCTACAAAACTAAGTGAGTTTTTGTCCATTTGCCAGTGCATTTTAATATGTTATTTAAACACTTTTAAAAAATATTCCGTTTTCTGACGTTGGCCCTTAATTCGTATTTTTTCTAATATGAGCTTTGTAAAAAAATCATTTCATATGCGCTCCTACGCCATTTATTAGATTTCAATAAAACTTTGGTGAAATGTTGCCAACATGCCCATAAAGGTTTCTAAATTATTTAAACCGTTTTAAAGTATTCAGTTTTGAGCCTCCGGCCTTATATTCGTTTTTTCTAATATGAGCTATATAAATATATTTTCAAACCGTATGCGTCCCTACACCAATCATGCGATTGCGACAAAACTTAGTGAGTTGTTGTCCATGCGCCAGTGCATTTTTCTGTGCTATTTAAACACTTTGAAAAATATTCCGTTTTCGGCCGTTGGCCCTTAATTCGTATTTTTTCTTTTATGAGCTCTGTAAAAAAATGTCCATATGCGCTCCTACGCCATTTATCTGATTGCAATAAAACTTTGGCGAAATGTTGGAAGCACAGCTGCAAAGGTAATTAAATTTATATAAACTTTTTAAAATATTCCAATTTGAGCCAGCAGCCCTATTTACGTTTTTTTCTAATATGAGCTATATAAATATAATTTCAAACGGTATGCACTCTTGCACCATTCATGCGATTGCGAAAAAACTTTGACGAGTTGTTATCTATAAACATAGCCATTTTACTCATTAATTACAACACTTTTAAAATATTCCGTTTTCGGCCGTTGACCCAAATTCATATTTTTTATTATATGAGCTTTGTGAAAAATAATTTTCTATGCGCTCCTATACCATTTTTCAGAATGCGATAAAAGTTTAGTGAGATGTTGTTCTATCGCCAACAAAGGTTCTTAAATTACTACAACCGTTTTAAAATATTTAGTGTTGAGCCAGGGCCCTATGTTTATTTCTTACAAAATGAGCTATATAAATATAATTTCAAACCGTGTATGGATAGCCAGAGCATTTTTCTAAGCTATTATAACCCTTCTAAAATATTCCGTTTTTGTTTGGCAATTGGTCCCAAATTCGTGTTTTTTTCCTTACATTAGGAGCTTTATAAAAAATAATTTCCGTATGCGCTCCTCTACATTATTAGAATGCGATAAAATTTTAGAGAGATGTTGTGCGCACGCCCGCAAAAGTTTCTTAAATGATTACAATCATTTTAAAATAATCCGTTTTTAGCCAGGGGCCTTATGTTCGTTTTTTCTATATAAGCTATACAACTATAATTTCAGAAAGAGCTAATGCATGGATGGATAGCTTTTTAATCAAATACAAATAGTGATATTAAGTTGAGTATGTGACATATTAAGTAGGTTTCTGAAGTAATACAACAATTCTACAATATTCCATTTGTGGCGGGGGGCCCTCAATTCGTTTTCCACACTTTTATTATCTATATAATTATCGTATGCATTTCTATACCATTCATTCGATTGTGATAAAAATGGGTCAAGTGAAATGCGCAGTACCGAAAATGTTTCTAAATTAGAAAAAAACATTTTACAATGTTCCGTTTGGGCCAGTGACCCTAATTTCATATTTTCTTCTAAGAGCTTTGTAACTATAATTTTAAACAGAGCTATTGCATGTGTGGAACTAGCTGAATCCGCCGGCAAATTTTTTCAAATTTAGTACATCCATTGTACAATATTTCAATTAGGGCTGGGGACCCTAAATTCAATTTATTTTTTTTAAATGAGCTTCATCAATATAATTTATAACGGAGATATCAACACTACCGTCCTTGAACAAATGACACATTTGTAGTAAAGCAGAGAAAACACATTTTTGCATTTTTAGTGTAGAGAGTCTTTTTGTTATTTGTTTAAATAAGCTTGAAATTTGTGACGTATTTTAGAATCGGAAATGACATCGAAATCGCGGTTTTTTTTTCAACTAAGAGTATTTCTTGAATACAGTCTCATAATTTCGGAGTTGTTTTGTTTTATGTAAAGACATTTTACATGAATCGATGGTTTCTCAAGTAATTAAATAACACACTTGATAAAGTAGGCATTGAACTTTGGTCATTTTTTTACCGCTGGAATTTACGATTTATGAATTAATGAGAAACTATACACATGAAAATTTCCTGAAAACAATCAACGTACCTATTGTGCGAGGTTTTCATGTAAAAAGATGGGAGATCCTAACGTTTAAAAATTATTAACGTTAGGAATATTGTAAATTAATTGAATCAAATACAAACAGCGATATTTCATTTTGTTTGTGACCTAACAAGTTGTGTTAATTGTGAAATACCATTGGTAATAACAGATGTCACAAAGCAATAATTTCGCTGTCATATCAATTATGCCACACAAAAAAAAAAGTTTTGGGTCAATCTAAGGAAAAACAGTCCCAATCTTTCGAAACAGTTGAGCAACGGATAACAAGAATAGAATCCACTCGAGTACGTAATGCTCAATACCGTTCACCTGAAACAGTCGAGCAACGGAAACCAAGAATCAAAACCGGCCGAGTAAGCAATGCTGAAATCCGTTTGTCTGAATCATTCGAGCAGCGAGAAACAAGACTGGATTCCGATAGAGAACGCACTGCTCGATCCAGACGAATACTGCACGCTGAATGAAATCTTAGTACATTCAATTACGAAGCTAATTATGATTACAGTCTTAATCCAAGTGTGGTTATTGGAAAAGTATATCAATTATGCGTGTATTGCAGTGCCCTCAAATTTAAAAACGAAACACCGGGACTTTGCTGCGTGGATGGGAAAATGAAATTGCCAGAATTACATTCACCATCGGAACCATTATCAACGTTGGTATCAGGTGAAACAAGCCAATCGAAACATTTCTTGTCATACATACGCAAGTGCAATTCATGTTTCCAGATGACATCGTTGGGTGCAACAAATATCGTGCGCGAGAATTACATGCCAACATTTTAAGTAAAGTGCAAGGCCAAATTTACCATCGTGTAGGATCTCTGATGACAATGCCAAACACAGATCACAAATGTCTTCAAATGATTTCATGGGGAATACTGATGAACAAATCGATCAACGTTGTCATATCAATACGGGAACTAAACGAGAAATCGTCGCTGCAATGCAAACGTTATTTTTGCAACACAACGAATTAATTCAAATGTATAGAATTGCACTTGAAAAGATGCCGACTGATGTATACAAGTCATTAGTTAGAGCAGACTAAACACCTGTCGGCCAACATGAAAGACAATACAATGCACCAACAATTGATGAAGTGGCGATCGTTATAGTTGGCGAAGATTTTAACTCAAGTGATATAATTCTTCATCACAGAAGTGGGGATGTTCAGCGAGTCTCAGAAACTCATCGCTCATACGATTGATTGCAATATCCTATTTTATTTTGGCAAGGAGAAGATGGATATCGTTTTGACATCAAATTGAGAACTTCGAATAAGAAAGTCAGTGCCATGAAATACTATTCATATCGATTGATGATTCATGAGTTGGGAATTACCTCTCGGAATTGATCTGCAAACAAACTTTTCGCTCTTGATTTGCAACGAGAAACGCACTTTGATATCGAAGCATTATGTACGGTATATTTGCTCAAATGAATCTTCCGAAAATGGTTCAATTGAAGTTACTATTTTAAATGGAAAATTTAAACTAGGTGATGTACTTTTGCCATTCACCCCAATGATTCCAACAGATATGCCATTTGAATTCAAACGCCTACAGTTTCCGATGCGACACTCGTCTACAATGACTATCTACAAAGCACAAGGACAATCGCTACAAGTTTGCTGACTAAATTTGGAAAAATCATGCTTCGCCCATGGACAGATGTATGTGGCCTGCTCTCGCGTCGGAAAATCTTCTGATTTATTCGTGTATATACCTGATGGAAAAACAAGAAAAACTTTGAGTATTTAAAAGCTCTTGAAGAAACATAATTAACGTGCATACACTTTCTTTCTTTGAGTGGCATTGCAACGTATGCCGGGTACTCGCTAGTGATTGATATTGAGCGACTGATCTTTGTTTGACATAGAAGAAATTATAATCCCATAGATTTACGTAGATTAAGATAGATTGAAAAAAATGGTATGTTTCGGCATAATATTTACATAGACTGGATTACAGTGGCTTAGAGATGTTTTGAATGACAAAAATGGACAGAAAATGACGAGAAGCCCAGTGCGGTACATAGTAAAATAGACAGGCATAGTGTGATATAGTGATGAATATAGTTGATTATATAGTCTTATAGTGGCATAGAGTGATATACGGTAATTACATTAGTTTAGAAGGCATAGAGTTACAGAGAGCAGCGTTTCACACACTTTGACATTAGGCGGATCGGTAGATACGTTTCAACATTGCACCAGGGCCCGGTGCCAGATTTGAGTAATACTATTTCCCGTTCATTCTACCATAAATGTTCATGTTGT